AGAAGGGCCCGGAGGGACGCGTGAAGGGGCTCCGGGCCGGTGGCTGCAGGACCGCGGGGTGGAGGTGATGGGCGGAAAGGAGCGGGGGCAGAGCGGGCTGGGAGTCCCTGGTTCTGGCCCAGCAGTGTCCGACAGCGGTGTGGGGTCGCTGGGGGCTGGGGTGAGGGGTGTGGAGATGCTGGAAGGGGCTCCCAGAGGCTGGAGGTGAGAGATGGCCTGAGCAGTGGGAGAGCACATAGGTCAGGACCCTGCGAATGGCAGAGTGCTGGGGAAGGTGGTGGAAATGGTTGGTCTGGGTGGCCAGGATGGTTYTCACCACTTTGCCTAGGAGCCAGAAGGTGAGGGGGACCAGGTGGGGACTCCCCACTGCCTCCCCAGTTGCCATGTCGTGTTTGCCTTTGTGTCTTGTGCTGAAATGTTTCTGCCGTCACACCTTCACACTTAGAACTGGTGACACCATCGCCCATCMAGTCTTGCCATGCCCCTCAAATATCCTTGACCTGTTGTAATGRTTGGTGTGACACATGCACACTGCATTTCTGTGGTGACCAGAACACGGAACAAGGGTGCTGGGAAGATGTTGAGGTACTCTGTGCCGCGATCTTGGATCCCCCTTGGCTGTGACAGCGTCTGTCCGAGGGCAGGGCTTTGCTTCCAGGGTATTTCTGCATGARGAAGGTGCTGCCTGGTCTGTTGGTTTGGCCTTCAATGAAGCACCAAACTCCTRCATTTATTTGTGCCAGAGTGATGCTTGGGCATGTTGTTTGGCCAGAGTTCTGCCCCAGCACTCTGCACTGTTGTGGGTCAGCGAGGTCTGTCCAGGGGACACTCAGGAAGAGTCACTGTCTCCTGGGTGAGGTTTGGCTGTGGAGCATCTCTGCTGTGATGTTGATGTGGCCCTGATCTTCCTGAGCAGTGCAGAAGGTGGTCCATGTGTCGTGTCAGCTGTTCATTCTCTGGTCTTTCAGAGGCATCACTTGCAGGACGAATCTCTTCTCCTTCCTCTGGGGAAGGAAGTTTGTGGAGTTTGTGGAAAATGGCCCCATGGCCAAGGAGTTTGGACAAGGCAGAGGAACCAGGAGTGCTTCTCGCTGAATCTGAAATGTGTGTTAGACTGACTCAGGAAACAGCATTAGTTATTGAAGAGAAACACTGGAAAGGGAAACCTCCTTTCTCTCAGTTTCTTGTAAGAGTGATTTCAGCCTGGAGGGTTTTCTCTGGGAAGAGACAATTCACCTCACACTGGGAAATGACTTTGTCAGGGCAGAAAGCTCAGGCTCTGCATCTCCCCATGTTTCCTAAATCATGGCCTAGCTTCATTCCATGTGCTCARAACCTTGAGTTCACACCAGAATGGAGTCATCCAGAAATACAATCAYGAGAGTGAGTAGTTGACCAACCTCTGTGTAACTTCTGAGAGGAAAGTTACTCTCATACCTCAGCAGCAGAAACCAGCAGGAGCAAAGCACCACTGAGGATGGTAAAGTGAGATTAAAGGAATTTAATCTCCCTTTTTTCCCCACAAGATTGAGTGCCCCATGGGCATAGGAGCCATTTCCAGCATCACAGTGCRCTGTGAGAATAACTGGAGTTCCCCTCTGTGACTTTGATGGAATYCCTGACCAGCAGGAAGAGCAGTGACCCTGTCCCAGAACCATTCTCAGTGTTTCTGATGTGTGCCATGCTCTTGCATTTCTGCCTCCTGTGTGATGTTTGGATTTGAGGTGTCAGTGCTGGTTGTTCCATGATGACTCCAGCATTCCCACTTGCTCTGGTCCTCCTTTCAGAGAATTAAACTCGTGATTAGTTATGGAATTGTCACCCTGTTGTAGTGGCCAATCCTCTTTCTTTCAGCACCTGGTCATTAATGAGAGATCTCATTGTTCCTGAAGTATTCTTGACACCTTTTCAATCTGGCCCATCCATGCCAACAACTTCAGTCTTCATTTTCAGAGCCCTGTTGATGCCCAGGCAAGGGGATCAACAGTGATGATCTACAGATTATTGAGCAAAGAGTTCTGCAAAGTGTCCAAGATCCAGAGGGAGTAAGGGTAGGCACACCCTTTCCAAGAAACCAGGGCTGTTTGCTTGGAAGGATTTATCCAAGAGGGTTTTGTACCTTGGTCCCATTCCAGCAAAGCCCAACAAAGGCACATTGACACTTTCTCAACTTATGGAGCCCTTTCCTGGTATGACCATCCTCAGAATGGAGTCTGTCCCCTTCTCCTTTCATCATCCCATAACTTCTCCCTTTTTGTGTGCTCAGTTGCAGGGCTCTGTCTGGAGCCAGAGTGGTCTCAGTGGGGGTTATTTTACCTGCACTAATCAGGTACTCAGGGATGGTGGACTGGAGCCATCTTCTTCCTTGCTACAGAATTCCAGCCTGTGGCTTGATAGCTGAAGGCACTAACTCAGAACATGYAGTCTGTGGTGGCTTTTTTTGGTGTATACTTTGCTTTGTTATTAGAATATAGATTTTAATTTGAAGCTGTACTTTGTTTTCTTAAGTAAGTTGTAAGAGCCTCAGATTGGAAGCACTGTAAATGTAAATGTAAAGGAGTGATGGTGCACAGCTGAGATTGTTGATGGCTGAGAATCCTACAGAGATGTCACTGAGGACTGGGGGACTGACCCTGGGATTTTKGTCTCTCTCAGTCCCCCAAAAGCTTTGGTTGTTTACCTGTTTGCTCCCTGCCTAGGCTGAGCTTGATGAACAGCATTTCCACGCACAGCAGCCCGAGGAGCAGCAGATGTTCTGGGTTKTTTTCCTCAGCCCATGCTGCTGCCTGAACTTGTGACCGAGCACCAAATGCCACCCTGCAGGTGCCTGTTCTCAGGGTCTGCCTGGCTCAGCTTCTCACACCTCTCCTGTGCCATTTGTGGTCCYACCAGACACCTTCTCTGCCTTCTCAGCTCATGTCCCTGAGCTCCTGGGTGCTGCAGTRAGGCATTAGGGAGAAGCCAGGGTGTTGCTTCAGACACCAAAGGGTCAGCCCCTAACAATGCTGTGCTCAAACAGATATGATGTGTGTGTTCAGAATAACAGCTGAGGGTCCAGGGTGTTTTTTTTTTTAGTGAAGATGTAGACCATGAAGGTCTGAGGTCTTAAACTGGTGGGAGGATAAGTCATGAATGGAGTGATGGAGGTGAAAAAGWTGGAAGGACATGGATTGAGGGGAAGGTGAGGATGCCAGGAGAAATTGTTTGATACACCTGATGAGCTCATTTGAACAGCAGTTCTTAACATGGCTTTGGGGGGTTTGGAWAACTTTTGCTTTGAACTTAAATGAGTTGCATTTGCTGGTGAAGTGAAGTGGGTGGAGAGGTYTTTAAGGAGAGCTGTCTCAGAGGTGTTTTTCTCTTTTCCTGAAGGCCTCTGTTGGCCGGCAGAGTCCGAGGGTGGTCCCGTACCCAGCCCGTGGCCTATGTCCTGGAGAGCCCGCCCTTCAGAGCGCCGCAGGTACCTCATGGCTGAGATCCTTCTGTTCCAGAGGAAACAATTCCCTTCTCCTTCYAACATCTCCTCATTGATCCCCATGCAGTTTTACAGAGGAGAAAAGGCTTAAAGTTGCCAGAGCTCCTACAGGTGTGCATTTGCCCACTCTTGAGTAAGGGGTGATTACCCTAAAAATGCCCCCAGGTGAAGGAAAGGCTGCAATGTGTGCACTCATGTGACACCAGCAAATCCAGAGACACACAAATAACTCAGAAAACCTTCAGATTCAGCTTCYACAGACACAWAAATAAMTCAGAAAACCTTCAGATTCAGCTTCCAGTCAGCTGTGGGACCTGAATGTGCATGGAACCAGGCTTTATGCTGACAGAGGAACTGCCACCAGTTGTGTTCCCTGTCCCATTCTGCCTCATCTCTTCCTCTGGTTTATCATGTCTGCACAACCACAAGAAGGGATCATCCCTGGCTTTGTTGCATCTCAGGATTTGGTCCATGGTGGTGCTAACATCCAATTTCTTCTGATCCMTGCAGTTGTGTCAATGGGCTCAGCTGATCATCGACTGAACCTGGCAGAGATCCTTTCCCAGAACTACGGTGTGCGGGAAGARAGGGAGGAAGATGAGACTCAGGAGAAGCAGAAATCTTTAGAAGAGCTGGAGAAGAGTTTCAGTGCCCCTCAGGTAAAGGCAGCAGGGGAGGGGAGGGGAAATTACCTGCTGGATTTGCTTGTTTGCTGTGTGAAGCCCTGACTTCAGCTGGGTTCAGGTCACCCAACAATGAGTCAGATTTGCATTTGGATGGGAAGAAATGGTTTTGAGAACAGAAGACAGCAGTGAAGTGAATTTTGGAGCCTTCCTCTGCCAAGTAGCCACTCTGGCAGGTGGTGTTGGCTCTCCTTGCTGAACCATCAGCTGTTGGGGTGATGGTCAGTGTTTCACAAAGATGAGCTGACGTGGTGCTGCTCTGGGTGGGCCCATTGAGACCTCAGTGGAACACAAATTGTTCTTGGTGACAGACAATGTCTTTTCAAGCCAGGACAAATACAGGGATTTCCTTCTCTCCTTTCTCTGCTTAAATACAGTTGTGCTGTCAGGCACCTTTTACCTCTTTGAAATCTAGAATAAATGATAAACGTATTTTAAAAATGCCCTAGATTGTATTTCTTTGGGGTGAAAGATCCTGGCTTTTCCATCCCTTTGAGAGGGTTATGGTGGCTCCCAACAGACCCTCCTACCTCTCTTGTTGCCCTGAGGCTGCTCAAACCCCTCAGAGGAGCAGAGCTGCCTTGACTGCCTCTGCCTGCCCATGTTCCTGCCCCTGGCGTGGTGCTCTTGTGGTTGTTCTCTTCCTGATGCAGCTTTGTCCTCCTCTTGCTCAGAGCAGTGAAATGCCATTTGAGGAGCTGCTCGCACTGTATGGCTATGAGGCATCTGATCCCATCTCGGAGCAGGACAGCGAGAGCAATGACATCACTCCCAACCTCCCTGACATGACTCTGGATAAGGTGAGAGCAGCTCTCTGCCTGKGTGTGTGCACAGGTCACTGTGTTATGCTAGAGTTTTTAATTCCCCCCTTTTCAGAGGGGTTTGATGGATGCCAGGGCAAGGAAACCTTGTTCTGGTGTCCCCATGAGGATCACCAGGTGCACAAACCTGAATGTAAACTGTTGAGAAGGGAGAAAGGAYATCTGTTTTAAAAAGAACTCTTTAAAAACTCTTGATGGAACTTCAGTTACAAGTCTCTGCACTTAGATATGGGTCTGTGGAGAGCCAGGGAAGGTTTGTACCTTCCCAGGTGAAGCCATGGCTCCTCCTGTTCTAGCTGAAATATGTAGAAAGTGAAGGGGGGCAGGGGATATTTGGGTTTGGGTTTTTTTTTTTTCCTTCATCATCTTTCAGGATGATATTTGGTGGGAGTGGAACATATCAGAGTAGTTTGCTCATACTCTCTGCCTTCCATAGGAAGCCACTCATGACACTTGTTAAAGTGCTTCTAGGGAAAATAGTCTGGGTGCTGTGGGAGTGTGAGAGAGAATCTGTCTTTGGACAAGCTGTGGGAGGGTGAGGAGATCAGTGGATGTGGCCACTGTTGGCCAGAAATGCTTTTACTCTAGGCCTCACTCCCTCTCATATAMCTTTTTAATTTTAAAAATATTTTTCACTCTCTTGTTGTTGTTAAAAGGARCAAATAGCGAAGGATTTGCTTTCAGGGGAAGAAGAGGAGGAGACACAATCTTCAGCTGACGATCTGACTCCATCCGTCACGTCCCACGATGCATCGGACTTATTCCCAAACCAGCCTGGCTGTATGTGTCACTAGTTCCTAAGTAGTTGCTGTTCACTTTTACATATGATGTGCAGGGGAGGGTGAGAATGGTTTTCTTAATTTTGTCAGTCTCCTGACATCAGATTTTCCACTTTTCCTTCTGGGTTTTGTCTGCGTGGCAGAGGCGTTACCAGSCTTTGGGTAGGACAGGACAAAGCGTTGATGAGCAGTGGGATGAAGGGGAGAATTTTCTTGAGCTGTAACTCAGAATACTGAAAAAGTGGGAATTGTTTTGCTGGCTGCTGTAATTGCAGTCTGAAAGATCAGTACCTCATCTGACATTGCTACCAGTGAATAAATTCAGTAGTAGTAGTGGAGCGATGTGTTTTGGCAGCTCCTAAATACTGGAATATGTGGGAAGCCAAAGCATGTGACAGGGACTCTGCATCAAATGATGCTATTTTATCTTGGTTTGAAAGACAGGTGTCTGCCAAGGAAGGCAGAATGGAGAATATGACCCCCTTCCCTCCAAATCACTAAACTTTGAAATTAAGGGGCTTTCAGGCGAAGGTATAGGGGAAAGGAATAATAGTTCTTTACTAATATGTATAACATGACAAACAAACAACAGCAAGGGCAGCAACCCCAAACAAAAGCAGAAACCCAGTGTCAGCCTCCTCTGGGCTGTCCCAYGCTGTCCCYTYGGTGCAGTTATGGTCACAGCCGGCAGGGCAGGGACGGTGATTCCTCCACGCCGGCAGGGGGCGCTGTGACACAGGCAGGCAGATTCCTCCCAGCCAGCAGGAGGCAGTGTGGTGTGGGCAGGTGGTGATTCCTCCCTGCTGGCAGGGGGTGCTGTGGTGTGGGTGGTGATTCCTCTCTGCTGGCAGGGTGGGTGCAGTGATTCCTCCACTCCGGCAGGGGCGCTGTGGTGCAGGCGGGTGGTGATTCCTCCCCTCTGGCAGGGGGCGCTGTGGGGTTGGCGGGCGGTGATTCCTCTCTGCTGGCAGGGTGGGTGCAGTGATTCCTCCACTCCGGCAGGGGCGCTGTGGTGCAGGCGGGTGGTGATTCCTCCCCTCTGGCAGGGGGCGCTGTGGGGTTGGCGGGCAGTGATTCCTCTCTGCTGGCAGGGTGGGTGCAGTGATTCCTCCACTCCGGCAGGGGCGCTGTGGCGCGGGCAGGCGGTGATTCCTCCCCTCTGGCAGGGTGTGGGCGGTGATTCCTCCCTGCCAGCAGGGGGCGCTGTGGCACTGGGGTGATGATTCCTCCAAGCCGGCAGGGGGCGCTGTGGCGCAGGCTCAGCCCCGTCTCTCCCTCACGCGGTGATGGCGGGCGGGTTGGATGGCAGACTGGGCTGCAGAAGGAACCTCACACCAGCGGCTGGGCTGGCAATTGCTGCCTCACCCGAGGTAGCGAGCAGGAGGTGCAGAAACTCCGTAGGAGCCGTGGTGTGTCCCGCCAGGCTGGGTGTGGCGTTACAGTGTGGCAGAAACACCAAACAGCAGAGGCCCCAGACTCCTGAACTGGGAGAGGCTCCCTCAGAGGAGGAGGGGTTCAGGCTCCTGGGGGGGTATCCCTTGAACCCCCGAGTTGATGGTGAGAGTCCTTTCCAGTGAGGTAGGGGGTTAATGAGGTCTCAGTTCAATGGATGCTCTTAGGAGCAGAGCCTCACCYATGGTGGGAGAAGAAAAATAGGAGACAGAACTCCACAGTGGCACTGGGTTCTTCCTGCAGCGATCGTGGCTTGTGTCCCCTCCGAATGCCCAGAGAGCAAGAGAGTCAGAAGCTCCCCCAGCTCCTTTTCCCCAGCCCAAATCTCGAGGTATCTCCATCCCTACAAACCCTCCAGCTAAGGGGGTAGCCACCTGTACACTTCCACCCTTCCCCTTTTATTTTAAGTACTGGTCATTATTGTCGCTTAGCAACAGAAGGGACAAAATTCCCTAAAACAAAAGGAAAATATCCCAACCTTCAACATATTCCTTCTATTGGCTTGCAATATTGAGGAATCTGAGCTCCCTAGGTTGGCCATCCATGTGGCAAGCGTGCAAATTCTTTTATTTAAAGTGAGAGAATTAAAACACGGGTAAGTTGTCACTGTAGACTATGCTGAAAGGGACTTTAGGACAGAAAATGAAGGGAAGGAGAGGGAACATAAAGGAATAGGAAAAAACAATTCATAACTGCRGATCTTTTCCTTTCCCACAAAGCAAACAACTTCCTTGCGGATGAAGACAAAGAGCCATGTTCATCTCCRTGTGCTTCCTCCATGGCTGAGGATTCTGAGGTGGATTCCATCCCATCCAACGAGTGTAAGAAGGTAAATGATCTGAGTGCACTGGAACAGGGAATTTGTGAGTTAGAGGAAAGCATGACACCAAATCATTGATATTTCCCCAGTCTGCTGCTTGATGTCTTGTATTTTGTGGACAGCAGTGGCAGGTGTGGGTTACAAGAGGAGTTTTTAGTATAATCTCGAAATTATCTTCTGCTTCAGATAAGGAAAATCTGTTGTGCATTGGTAAATGAAATCTGCACCTTGTAATTTCTAAATTTCTGTAGTCCTAGAAAGGTGAAATCAGCAGGATTTACTGAGGGGGAACCATCTTTCTAAAGAGAGGAGCAAACTTCCAAATTCATCCTGGCTGTGAAGGTTGCAGGAGAACCTCTGCACTGCTTTATCTCCAGCYTTAGCTGCTTGCCATAGATCTTTCACATTAAAACTATGTAAATGCTGAAGGTCCCCACAGTATCATCTGGTTGGTAGTAAATCTTCTTAGCTACCCTATAAAATAGTCAGGGTTCACTAGAAATAATAGTGACAACTGGAGATACCAGTAAATAAATCATCTTTGCAGTGGTGTAGCCTCTAAATCATGAAGCACAGCCTGCACGGAGCATTTCCCATTTCCATTTTCTCACTTCTCTGTCCTGGGATTTCAGGAGATCATGGTTGGACCTCAGTACCAGGCTACAGTTCCCATCCTGCGCTTAAACAGGCACAGACAAAAAGGTAAGGCAGCCTCTCCTTAGTGCYTTGTTTGGGTGTAGGGCTGCTGGCAGGGGCTTTGATGGGCTTTGGATCACCACTCTTCGTAACTCCAGGCTTGGAAATTTTCAGTGCTGACATCCAGCTTTAGTGGCTTAAACAAGCCTGATTTAATAGGGCTGGGAACAGAGGTACAGAAATGGTGAAGCTCAGTGAGAACTGGGTTGGTGTGACAGGTTTGCAGGAGAGGGTGTCAGCTGTAGCCAAAAAGAAGGAATACCCTTCTGGTGATGCTCTAATTTATTCTCTCTGACATCTTCAAGTAGCCCGAGTTACTGTCATTCAGTGCTCCCTGTAGGTGAGCTGTTTGTGATTTTGGGGTGTCTGCAGAGCAGACAGAGGTGCCTTAATTTGCATATTTTGTCCAATAATGAGTGCAGTATGAATGCCAGCTTGTTGAGTTCCTGGGCAACAAAGCTAAAAGGGTCTTTAGTTGCCAGGATTAATGAATCAAAAYAGCAATCTTTGAAAATATGGTAACAAAAACTTTGCCAGCCAACCCTTCTGAAACAATGGAAGCAAGCTGAGCCTGTGCCAAGGGCCCTAAAAGAGATGTAAAGAGCTTACCTGCCTCCAAAATCAGGAGGGGAAATGCAGTGCCTTGAGAGATGGTTGTCATCTCTAGAGCCAGGTTTGGAGTAGCAAGCAAAGTTTTCCTCTCTCCTCTGTCTCCCCCATGCATATCCCTGCAGACCACTTCTGAAAAAGCAGCAGAATTCTCTGTTTGATTATCTTATTTCAGTGCTTTTTCTGTTAGCCTATGAGAATGAAGATCAGCTGCTTTGGGACCCAAACATCCTGCCCGAGAGGGAGGTGGAAGAGTTCCTGTACCGCGCTGTGAAGCGGCAGTGGGACGAGCTGTCTGGCAGCAGCCTGCCAGAGGGAGAGGTGGTCAARGACAACGAGCAGGTGAGTTTAGGGACTCCTGCAGCCCACACAGACCCAGGTGGTGCTGGCCACATTCCCTACAGAGGTCACAGTGAGGTCTGACTCCAGTGATCATCATGGATAAGTGAGGGTGTGTACCCTGCTGCGGTCTGGAGAGGTTGGTTACACTCCCATTGGGAAGACTGGAAAAGTCAGCAGATCAGCCATTACAGAGCAGCTGTGTTTACTTCAAACTAGCTTGGTTAGATGCTGGTGGAGCTGCATCTGTCCAGTCCCACGGTTTGTAATGCAATGCTTTAAAAAGTGAGATAATCTCTGCTGATGGTTGAACTGGGATAAGCAGCAAGGTGGCTGCTGGGAAATAGAAATTTTTCAAGACAAATGTGAGTCATGAGCAGGCTGGTTTGCAGTGAGTTGCTCAGGTACGTGCTGTGAGTGATTTCCTTCTGTTTCTCAGGCTTTGTATGAGCTGGTGAAATGCAACTTCAATGCAGAAGAGGCACTGCGGAGGTTACGGTTCAACGTGAAGGTTATCAGAGGTGAGAACCCCCCAAATTTGGGTTCTATCCCAAACATCAAGGTGCATGCAACTCTTCCTAGATTCTGCACATCTCCAACTCCTCTTCCTTTCTGCTACAGATGAGCTTTGTGCCTGGAGCGAGGAAGAATGTAGAAATTTTGAACATGGCTTTAGGGTCCATGGGAAAAACTTCCACCTTATCCAAGCAAACAAGGTAAGGCTGCTCTCCCCAGATCAGGAGCAGGGGAAGGAGGCAGTGCTTTGGCACCAGAGGTGTCCTTTGGGCCTCGGCTGACACAGGGAGTTCAGGATGGCCGAGTTCCCACCCCAGGYTTTGTGTTGACTCATGCCAGCAGGTGATGGGCTGTTCACTGCCCTGCTCTGCCTTATTTTCCAGGTGGGAGAAGTCACAAACACCACTGACCTGCATGAGTGATGTCAGTTAATTACTGATTAGCCCTTTCTGGAGTCTCAAAAGTTCTTTCCAAACTCTCAGCCCTTGCAGTACTTCTGTGAATGAGTGAGTTGAGCATGTGGATGTTTCGTAAAGTCCCCTGGGGTCCTCTAGAATGGCAGATGCTGTTGTAGGGAGAGCTGGGCCCCGGGACATGCTGCTGTGCTGGGAGTTGGCAGAACCAGAGAGTCCAGTTCTACCACTGGTTAACTGTAGGCATGTTGACGCTGGCCAGTGACAATGGATGCAGGTTTGCTCTCTCTGCTAAGTGTGCTGCTGCTGGAAGCGCAGGAAAGTCCTGCACGAGTGCGTGTGGCCCACACGGGGTCTGTGACAACAGCTGTGTGCTGTGGGGAGTTCTTTTCTCTGGCCACCTCGGAAACCTCAGTACGTGCTTCTGTTCTGCAGCAATGTGTCCATAGTAGCAATGTAAATCACTGTAATGCACTTGGAATTTTCTGTGCTGGTTAAATGGGAARATAGCCCTTGCTCCAGGAGAGATGCACCTGGATGGGGGTGGGTGTGCCCTGACTGGGGTGTTTCTCCTCAGGTCCGYACCCGGTCGGTGGGCGAGTGTGTGGAGTATTACTACATGTGGAAAAAATCAGAGCGCTATGACTACTTCACTCAGCAGACTCGTCTAGGAAGGAAGAAGTACGTCCTCCACCCTGGAGCCACGTGCGTGGAATATTCTCACACTAAAATTAGTAATATTAACCTCCCAGTGAAGATTCCTGCTGCAAAGCACCTCCGCTTAACAGACTGCGCTTTCTTCTCCAGAAGGTTTCTGGGGTGGGAGGATGGAGGGATGCACGGGGTGTTCTCAGAGCACAAACACAGAGTTGGTGTGGGGAGGGAAGATGAAAGAATTGTTTGCATGGATATGAACTCCCTTGTCCTTTTCTGTGTGTTGAAAATGGTTTTATTTTAGACAAATGCATCCACAAGTGACTAGGGACAGGGATTCAGAGCTGATTTTGGCAAAAGAACTCAGCTTGATGAGTTTTTGGGAAGGGAGCTTTTTAAATTCAAAAACCCACTTACTTCTGGTGGTTTGGAACCTGAATTAATTTCCCTTTGAGGCAAATTCTTCCCTTTGAAATGTATGCTAATTACAGAAGATACTTTTCAAAATACACCTTTTCAAAAAGGTTGAAATGGAAATCTCTTAATAGGTCAAAATGAAATATTGAAGCTGAATCAATTAAAAACATTAGATGAAGGCTTAGATTTCTTTTTTTTTAAATTCTGATGCAAGACAGGAAAATACCTGAAATCTTAGATCCTCTCAGGGTGGGAAAATATGTTCTCATCACTTGCTCTTTGCTGGCACACTAAGGACCCACCGCAGTCATGCCAAGAAGCTGGGTGTTGCCTGGGTGTTTGACCATGGATTTATTTCCCTTTGGAAGGGGCTGAGGCTCTCAGAACTGAGACAAGAGCTCTTGGTGAAGCTGGAGAACCCATTTTGGTTTATCATGGGATGTTCTTGGCCACACTGTATTACCTGAGATCATTTCCTCAGGGCAGAGTCTAAACCAGGCTCTGCAGAGCAAGGAGGGMTGGACATTCATTCTAGTAATGTTTCTACAGTCCCACTGCTTTATTTTTTGATGGGTTTTAATCTCAGTCACCCTTTCTTCTGCCTACATCTCTGCTTAGCAAATGGTGGCAAAGCTCTCTCTTTTCCCCCAGGGATTTCACCGACAACGACCTGGATGGGGTTGAAGTAGAAAACGCGAGTCGCTCTCGGAGCTCCCCACCAATTCCCTCTGCARCTGGCTGCCTGGATGCTCACTTTGGTCAAGATCAGATAGCAATCGAGAGTACAGGTAACTTCCTTTGCTTCTGTCTGCAGTGGGGTTTTGGTGTGAGTAGAAGAGTTTTGTCTGTCCCTGCATTGACCAGAGGTGACTGTGAAACATTTGTGGCTGTGCTGGGCTTGGAGGGATGGCCTAGGTTATTCCCAAAACAAAAGGATTATGCACTGGACACCTGAGTGAGGTGCTTCCARAGCACTGACACAAACAGCTTCTCCAGAGGCTGGGTTAAATCCCAGAAATCAGATGCAAGCWGCTTTCAGACAGAGCTGGCTGTGAGAAGATTTGCAGGGAGCCCAACATGGGTTCACTCCCTCGCTGTCCTACTGCAGATGAAGGSTCTGTGTGGGCAGCTCCCAGGGGTTGTTGGCACGAGGGGATAGGATTTAGGATTTGGCTTATCTTGCAGTGTGTCTGTGAGGTTTCCTTGAATTTCCATAGAAACACTGATGGCCTCCCATCTGCTGTCGGCATCTTGCCTTCCCTCGGTRCGCGCTGGCGGGGATCTTGGTTGCTGTAATAAAGAAACACTTGTGCCATCAAACAAACACTGTTGTGATGGGGTGGGACTGACCTGGGTGTTTGTGTGTTGTGCACTCACTGTGGTTTTCCATCCCTCTCTCCTCCCCTGAGCAGAGCCCCTGAGTGTGGAGAGCACAGCCTGCAGCCTGGGCAGCATCAGTGAGTCGGGGCAGGGCTACGAGTGCAGCACCCCCTCGGAGACAAACTGCTCCTTTGACCCCACGGAGGAGACACCCTCGGGTGCTGTCCCTGCACCCTGCCCACGCCACACCGTCACCCCCTCGGAGCCAGAGCTCTTTGCTTTGCCCCCCGCTGGAGCAGGACTGGCAGAGAAGCAGGAGACGTTGCAGAACTCTGGTGAGACAATAACTATGGACTTCACTCTCCCTGCAGACATTAACGAGGGGTTGCCTTTGATTGCTGACCCCGTGGATTTGGACAGAGACCCTGAGGCAGTGGTGGCCCCTGCGCAAGTGTCCTTATCGGTCACAGATTTCGGTCTCATTGGCATCGGAGATGTAAATACTTTCCTGACTGCTCATCAGGCTTGCCCAGCACCTGTGGCTCGGTCAGAGCCTCTGTCACAGTGAGAGTCTCCAGTCACAAATTCGTCACAGACCCAGCAAGGACTTTGACCTGACTGAGTGAAATTCTGGAACTTCCACTGTCCTGTAGGGACAGTTTGGAGCTGTTGGTCGGAATCCGTCTTTCCATCCTCCTTGRTCCAAGGCTACAGTGAAACCAAACACCTTTCTGCTCCAGTGTATCCTGACACAATCGTGTAAAGTAGTGGCTGGCTTTCCTGAGTGGGGAGATCCATCCACCCCTCCTATGCTGACCATGTGTCACCCCAGGTGATGCCAGTCTGCTCAGAGAGTCCCTGCCTCAGGACAGGGGACGTGTCCCTCGGCCCCAGTGGGACAGTCTGAGGGCAGAGGTGCTTTGAGAAGAGGGATGTGTCACCATCATGGTGAGAATGCAGTCTGGGGGGCTGAGAGCTGCAGGGCAGATTCCTGCAGAGATGGGCAKGGTGATTCCAAGGGAGGCTGACGGGTCTTGGCCCTTCTCCCACGGGCAGTGTGTTGCAGTAGGAGCCACTCACCCTGTTCTTCTCCTGACATCCGTGGGTCATGACAGGCAGCAAACCTGCAGCAGCCACATAATCCTGGCTGCTTCAGCTGCACCCAGCCCCTGGGGAGAAGCATCAGGTCTTGGGAAGGGATGCTGCAGTGGTGCAGCAGCGTGGTGTGCACTTGAGTCCCTCTCACCTTGCTTTGCAGTGCTGGGCCAGGCAGAATTCTTGGGGAGTAACAGGATTTTCTAGATCCACAGTGATGCTGGCCCAGAGATGCTTCTGCTGCTGGCATGGAATGACTTATTCTTCACTGAGCCACAAAGTGAGAGGGTAAAATGCAGGTAAAAAACATCTGTAATTTCCTAGTTTGTTCCAACAATTTGTCAGTAGAGGGAGGAATGGTTGCTTAGCTCCCAGGGTGCCTGGGATATGGATGGTAGCACAGTCTGAGGAAGGGGAGGACACCATCCCTGGGCATTCCTGCTGCACACCATCCCTGAGCATTCCTGCCCTTCCTGTGTCACAAAACTGACTGTTCTGAGAGGAAAGTGGGTCTTTCCTGCCATGTTGAGGGAGGTGCCAGGTGCCATGCAGAGCCACGGGGGTGGCTGTCCTTGGGTGTGCTGGAATCCAAACCTGCTTCACTCCCCCAGGTGTGTTCCCTGTCTGGGATTGGCCACTGGCTCAACGTGTTCCCATTCCCCTTTTTCCATGCAGGGAATTCTTTCTGCTCCCCTGTTGGGCAAGGCTCTGGTGCAGACAGTCCCTTCCTCCAGTCATGTTCTGCAGTTGGAAAGGGATTTAGGTTGAGGGTTTTTTTCTTGCTTTGGTAGAGGCTTTGGGGCCATGATCATGCACTCAACTCTGCTGACAGTGGATTTTGCAGGTACCTAAACCCACGAGCCTCCATCCTCCTTTTACCCAGCCCTGGGAAGTTGTGCTCAGCCCTGCAGCAGGAGCACAGAGACAGCATCCAACAGCCCCATGGGATGCCAGGATTAGACATTTTCTCATCTCCTAAGCCTCAGATGTATTTTGTGTGCTTCAGCAGGGGTTTGCTTTGGTCCCCAGTGCTGTGCTGGGAGTTGCTGAGCCCCAGGCACGTACAGCTGCCTTCACCTGGCATGGCTTTTGTCAGTGGTGGGCAGAGGCCTCCCCTCCAGCTGCTCCCAGCTGCTGGGAACAGAAAGCAAACACGAGTGCCTGCTCCATAGTGGAACTGCCCAGGCTGTGATTCCCCTTTTCTGGGGGTGAGAGGAAGCTCCTTGTCTGAAGGGAGAAGAGGAGGCAGGGTGAGAGCACAGGCAGCCCTCCCAGGGAGGGCCAGGCCTTGGCATCTCCTCCATCGGCTGAGAACATTCTTAGTTTTCCTGAAACCATTTTTTTCTTTTGGTTTGTTTCAAGCCCTAGTGAAAGGAGAGGGGAGCTGGCTGAGGCAGAAATCTCTTTATGTCCTTCAGTGTTGTTTACAGATTTGCATGGGGTCTTTCAACATGAGCGCGGCGCTTTTTCCACATGACTTTGAGGGAGAGGGGTGAAAAAGGCTGGGACAGGGAGGGGGAGTCACTGGGGGAGGAGGTTTGGTTTTGCTTTTTTTTGTTGGGGTTTTCTWTTTCCTTCTTACAAAGCACATTCACTTTGAGCCGCTCCCAATGCTGGACTCTTCTCCCTTGCCCCCCAGCCCTACACTGTGAAGTGACACTGCCTTGAAGACCCCTCGCCGTTATTTATTTAATTAAAAACCTAATTTGAAAGTGAGCCAGAAGCCTTTCTTCTTTTTTTGGAGGCCAAGATGCAACGGTCCTGTGTATAATGATGGCAGAAGCAAGAATAGGGGTCTCTTCCTCTGCTGTCTTTCCTGCCCTCTCTAAGTGCTCTACTCCAGGCAGGGTGGGATTTCCTGTGCCAGGGATGGCATCCCAGCTTGGGATGGTCCCTGCTGAGCTCTCCCAGTGCTGCAAGGGGAGAGAGAGCTGTTTTACAGGTGCCCTGAGTCCTCTAAAAGCCTGTCAGCCTGTGGCAGGTCTGGGGTGGTTTGGTAGATCCAAACTTCAACCAGAAAAAGCTCCTGGAAGCGAGAGAAATGTTCTGGCTGCAGCTGTATTCTGTTCCCCCACCACAGAGTCCCTCTGTTTCATCAAAAACTCCCTAAATTCTCTTCTCCTGCTTGTGCCTAGCTCTGTCCTGCAGTGCAGCCCCCCAGCTCTGCTCCACAGAGGTGGGTACAGAGCGGGCACAGCCCGGGGCAGGAGGGATGGGGAAGGTTCTGAGGAGCTCCAGGAAGCGCGGGTGTGCTTGAAGCCTTCAGCTGGCACCTCAGTCCCTTTCCTCGTTGCATCCTTTGACGTGAAAAGATGGACTCGGCCCTTGGCGGCTCGATCGCTGTTTCCGAGGGTGGGAGAAGAGCGGACCCGGATCCCCCCGGGCAGGGTCCGGAACGGCCCCGGCTGCAGCTGCGGCGCTCGGACAGCAGAGGGCGACACAGCGCCACACCGGGACCCGCCCGCGCCCCCCGGGACCCGCGCCCGGGGCAACCGGAGCCACCCGGGATCGCCGCGTTCCGCCCGTGACACCCCGGGCTGCGCCGGGCCCGGAAGGGAAACCGCCCCGCCGACCTCGGGCCCGCGGCGGGCAAAGTCC